TTGCATCACACAGCATCCAGGGTTCGATTCCAAGCCGTTTGTTTAAATCGCTGGGTTCTACAGACGGCATGGTACCAGTATAAGCAACAATACCAAGATTCTTACGAGGGGCCATCTCACAAACGAAATAGACACATAGCCTACAGGCAGTTAGCGAGGTGGTGCTGGGGTCTTTTGGGAAAGGAAGTGCGAGTGGTTCTGCCATCATGTGCTGTGGTGCTGTGTGTTGCATGCGAGCGCACTTCCCGCCTCCAGGGCTCGAAGAGGACTTCGTATTTGAAGGATTTCACTTTCCAGACGAGTAATTGTTTTAATACTGTGTAGTATTTCAATTGAGCTTCTAGTTGACACTACTAGTCTGTTGGGGTTTTCCTTGAGATTATAACTGACGAAATAATTGCATCTAGGGTGATTGGGTAAGATACTTCGAAGAACATATTTATATTGTGAAGATGGTAAACATTCTAAGATCCTCATTTTAAGTTTTATTTTCCATTTCACTTTGTGTCACTGAGTCAGTCTTCTAAGGCTGATCGAAGATCCTTGTATTTATGAGATCGGTGGAGTATTACTAACAACAACAGGGACTGCAGAGGGGGAGGGGCTGGTAGGGCTATGGCCCTACCACATTTATTGCTGGGATTTATTTCCTAGGGCTTCAGTTGACGTCGATAAAATTTAGATTTTACTACTTGAAAGTAATATTGGCCAGTAGTATTGGCCAGATTTTTTAGCCCTACCACTTAAAAATGGTCTCTGCTGTTCCTGAACAACAACAACAACAACAATAATCTTTATTTTCTTTCGTGTTAGTATATAATTCTAATGAAATTAATTTTGACTTCAGTCTGACTATGGCTAGATTTCACTATTTGTATGGCTGTTGGTTTAACAATATATTGCAATGTGAACGGTGAATTGATCAAAGTCATCATCATTCACCATCTTTATTCACTTCTCACTATTCATGATACTTTTACAGCGCTGATCCTTGCAGTTTGCAGGACACCTGTCACATATGAACTCACTTAAATGACCTTGCTGTCCATGAGTTCTCGTAGCTCAGTGGATAGAGCCTCCACACAGTTTTCGGGAGGTCATGGGCTTGATTCCTCGGGGGTGGGGGGGACTTAGAATTTTTCTTTGTCCCATGCTCGTGTTGTGTTGATCAATTCACCTTTCACATTTCAAAACCTGAGCTTAAAATTCACCATCTTTATTCACTTATCAATATATTGCAACATAGCTTTTAAGGATGATGAGGATCCTGGTGAGGAAAGTCACTTCCTGAATCTTGATTTTAATGCAATGACTGCGGCCTTTTTTTCAGGGCGGCCATAGTTCGATGATAGTGATCTGGGGGCATCAGCTCTCACTAAAACAGAACTTTCAGTGCCTTGGAGAATTCGTACAACACTCTCTTTCAGATTGACAACATACCTTACATGAGAAATGAAAGTATAAGTGGGGTCTAACCATCCACATGTAATGTAAATATGTAAATAAAAAAATTGTAAATTTCAGTTTGCTAATTTTTTTCATTTTTTACTCACCATATGTGCATTTCACTAAAATCTTCTTTACTGCATGCTCTCCTTTCTTGTACTTTGGAAAAGCAATGTTGAATCGTTCTCTGCCATCTTGCAATGTCGCCTGCTCCCTGTCACTGTTTTCATTGAAATGCAGGATTGCAATCTGCAACCTAAAAAGATAGATATTTTTGGTTTTGTTTTGCCTTCCATTCAATATGACATAAATTCAGAGTGGTTTTTTGGCAACCTGAAAATGTCACATTTGTAACCAAGCTTAGTGTGCATTATGATGTTATGATAT